CTACAATCAAGTCTCAGGCACTTGTCGATTTCATCGTCGAGTGGACAGACTTAAGCACGCCTGCCTCTCCCGGATCCGATGAATATTGGACGATGTACTTTGACGGCTCTCTCAACATTGACGGTGCGGGAGCAGGAGTCCTTTTCATGTCACCATCCAAGGAGCAGCTCCGGTACGTCCTCAGGATTTATTTCCCAGCATCTAATAATGCCACCGAGTACGAAGCATGCCTACATGGTTTGCGCATTGCGGTTGAGCTTGGCGTTAAACGTCTCTACGTCTATGGAGACTCTGCTCTGGTCATCAACCAACTCAACAAGGACTGGGACACAACCAGCGAAAAGATGGATGCATATTGCAATTTGATCAGAAAGCTGGAAGGCAGGTTCTATGGCATCGAGTACATACACGTGGTCCGGGACAAGAATCAAGCAGCGGATGCACTGTCAAAGTTAGGATCATCCCGAGCAAAAATCCCACATGGCGTATTCGTCCAAGACCTGCTCACGCCTTCCATCGAAGAGAAAGATTCCACGGCAGACAAGCCTCCGGACCAAAGAATTGGTGGCTACGGTTCCGCGCGTCAAGCACCGCCGAGCCCCTCTCCGACCACTCATGAGCCCGATTGGAGAATACCTTTCATCAAGTACCTAACGGATGGCGGCGATTTACACTCGACGGACAGAGAACGAAGCGCCGATGCGTCGCGAGTAAGTAGTACACCTTTCGTTGATGGCAAGCTATGGCGCAAGAACGCAAAAAGAGGAAATCTTGATGAAGTGTATAACCCGGGAGGATGGCGAACATCTCCTGGACCAAATCCACTCGCTCCTGCAGCAACCACGCGGCCCTCAAGAACGCCGGTCGGCAAGGCTTTACGGCGAGGGTTCTATTGGCCGTCGGCGATATCCGATCGCGAAGAAGCTAGTCCGCCACTATGAGGGTTGTCGGTTCTTCGCTAAGAGAATCCACGTACCAAAGACATGAGATCCGGACAATACCAGCCTCCCGCCCTTCGCATCTTTGGGGATCGGATATGATCGGGCCCTTCAAACCGGCTCCAGGGAAATTTACATGCGTCTTTGTGCTGATCGACAAATTTTCTAAGTGGATAGAATACATGACTTTGGTACAGGCATCCTCAGAAAGGGCTGTCACGTTCCTCGACTAGGTCATCCATCGTTTCGGCATACCGAACAGCATCTTCACCGATCTGGGTACTCAGTTCATCGGGAACACTTTTTGGGACTTCTGCGATGAAAGGAGCATAGTAGTAAAATACGTCTCGGTGGCGTCGGGAACAACTATGACTATCTACCATCTGCTAATGTAGCCGGGGGTGTCTTATCTGGCTGGCACCGAGAACAATGGGTGGTTTCCCAGGTGGATAAACGTCGCTTCTTCTTATCGGCTAAGGTGGCCAAGACAGCAACACTGCAGGACTACTGGTGGCTAACTGTGGTCTATGGGCCATAGGCTGACCAGGAAAAGGTTGAGTTCCTAGAAGAATTGCATCAGTTCAGAACGACGGCTAATGGACCATGGTTGCTATGTGGGGATTTCAACATGATTTATAGAGCAGAGGATAAGAGCAATGATCGCCTCGACCATCGTTGTATGCGTCGTTTCCGGGCATTCATCGATGCCGCCGAGCTAGAGGAGCTCCACCTGGTCGGCAGGTGGTTCACCTGGTCCAGTGAGCGGGACCAACAGACTCTGGAACGGCTGGACCGTGTCTTCGCCACTGCAGGCTGGTTGCAAGCACACCAGAATCATGTCCTCCGGGCGCTTTCCACGGATTGCTCCGGATCACTGTCCACTGCTGCTGATGGCAAACGTGGTGCCTTGGGCAAAAAAGAGGTTTCGGTTTGAACCCCACTGGATCAAATTACCGGGTTTCATGGAGGTTGTGGAGTCGGCCTGGTCAGCAACTCTGTTGCATGCTGACCCGATTCGTGTACTAGATTACAAACTTAGAAATGTGGCACGGGCGCTAAAGAGCTGGAGTGATAAGAAGATCGGCAGTGTGCGGATGCAGTTAGCCTTGGCCCGGAGGTAATTGTACGTCTGGATGTGGCTTAGGAATCCAGGTCGCTTTCTTCGCACGAGTCGCAACTTCGTAAGTCGTTGAAAGTCCGCGTGCTCGGTTTGGCATCCCTATTGTGTACGATTGCCAGACAACGCTCAAGATTGTTGTTTCTGGCCGAGGGTGATGCAAACACCAAGTTCTTTCACCTCATGGCTTGCCACAGAAAACGCATAAACTTTATACGGTCTCTCCACGTTCATGGCAATGTGATTGTCAGTGACGAAGGAATGACTGATGCTCTGTACCAATACTATGACCAAGTCCTGGGCACCATCTTTGTTCACTCCCACAGATTTGACCTTGGGATTATTAGGCTGTCATCGGTGGACCTATCCAGCCTGGAGGTGTACTTCACTAAAGCTGAAATTTGGGCAGTGGTCTCTGAAATGCCGAATGACAAGTCGCCAGGGCCAGATGGCTTCACAGGCCTCTTCTACAAGACGGCCTGACCCATAATCAAGGTGGACATTCTGAACGCCTTCAACGCGTTCTGGGCTTGTGACACTAGAAGCTTTTACTTGCTTAACGATGCTTACATGATCCTGCTAAGAAAGAAAGATCAGCCAGAGGAGATCAAGGACTACCGCCCTATCAGTCTCATTCATAGTTTTGCCAAACTGATCACAAAATGCCTAGCAGCAAGGATGGCACAGGTGCTGGACAGTTTGGTTCGACCAAACCAGACGGCCTTCATCAGAGGTCACTGCATACACGACAACTTCCAGTTTGTGCGCCTGTCCTGTAAGGCGATTCATGAAAAACGTGTTCCCTATGTCCTGCTCAAGATTGATATAGCGAAGGCTTTTGACTCAGTTGCATGGAACTTCTTGCTTGAGGTGTTGGTGCATTTGGGCTTCGACCAACGCCGGAGGGAATGGATCTCCAGCATACTGTCAACTGCTAGCACAAAAATACTTCTTAATGGTAGGCCGGGGAGAAGAATATGCCACGTGAGGGGACTTTGCCAGGGTGATCCACTGTCACCGATGCTTTTTGTGCTCATCATGGAGGTTCTCAACCATCTTATCTGCTGGCTGGACGTCCAGGGTTTCCTGTCACCCTTGGGGGTCGCTGCGCTACCTTTCAGGGTCAGCTTGTACGCTAACGACATCGTCATGTTTGTAACACCAAAACTGGATGATCTACTCGTCCTAAAGGGGGTGGCGGAGCTCTTCGGCCTAGCATCTAGTCGGTTCTCCAACTTGGATAAGAGTGTGGCTACTCCGATTGGCTGCTCGGAGCAGGAGTCAGAACTGGTGCATGACACTTTATTATGCAAGATCGAGGCCTTCCCATGCCGCTACCTGGGTATTCCACTATCAATTTTCAAGCTGAGGAAGGGCGATGAGCAGAAGCTGGTAGACTCCGTCGCGTCCAGGATACCACAATGGAAAGGAAGATTGCTAAACATGGCCGGGAGGACAGCATTAGCCAGGGCTACGCTCTCGGCAATACCGATCCACATGTCGATAGCGCTATGTCTTTTGTAGTGGGCGATTGAGCAAATTGATAGGCGGCGATGTGCTTTCATTTGGTGTGGCGAGCAGATGGTCACTGCAGGCAAGTGCAAAGTGGCCTGGAAATTATGCTGCAAACCACATGATCTTGGAGGGCTGGGCGTTATTGATCTGCGGCGTGCTGGGGTTGCACTGAGGGTCCAATGGGAGTGGAAATGTCGGGTTGATCAAAGCCTGAATTGGTCCGGCTTGCATAGGAAAAAAGAAAAGATGGTGACTGCAGTTTTCAAGGCAGCAACGGTGTCCATTGTTGGCTCTGGGGAATCGACTTTCTTCTGGACGGACAACTGGATTGATGGCACAAGCATTCCGTCAATGGCGCCTGCGCTCTATCAGGTAGTTGCAGCAAGGCGTCGGGGGGCGCTGGTATGTGATGCACTACCAGGTAATGCATGGGTGCGCCACATCACCGGAGCACATACGGCTCAGGTCATCAACGAGTTCATGCTTGTGTGGCAGCAAGTTCGGCACTTTCAGCCCTTGCAGGGAACACCTGATGTGTTTCAGTGGAGGCTCACACCGGATGGAGGCTACTCTTCGGCCTCGGCTTATGGAGCCATGTTCTTTGGAGCTTCGAGGACTCTTGGGGCAAGGGAGATTTGGAAGACCTCGGCACCGCCAAGAGTTTGTGCCTTCTTCTGGTTGGTAATGCACAGGAGATCTTGGACATGCATGAGCGGCGGTTTCGCCATGGCTTGCAAGACTCCAAAGAACTACATCACTTGTGAACAACTGCTAGGAGACTATAGATTATATCATCTTGGGTTGTGTTTACAAAGAGAGAGGTATGGGCCATTCTCTTCGCCAAACTTCATCTCCCTGGATGTTGTGCTCACAACGAGGAGGATGTCATGGAATGGTGGTCACAGCAATGTAAAGCTCGTTGTCAAACCGGCGAGAAAGGGGTTCAATTCGCTCTTCTTCCTAGTTGGCTGGAGATTGTGGAAGGAGAGAAACTCGCGCACTTTTGATGGAGTTTTTACTGACGCAATTGGTCTGGCTTGCTCGATCTTGGGCGAAGCCAAGGAGTGGTGTTTGGCAGGATACAAGCACCTCCTGTCCTTGCTAACACTGATGTAGTCTCCATGGGTCATTCCCGTCGCAAGCATAATAGTATGTAAATTAAATTCGCTTGCTACCCGTGGGCCGTTGTGCTTTGGTAGTCGATGGATTACCATGGCGTTTATTTGTAATTTTGAGTAAACTATCTGCTCCTGCTTAATGAACACCATGCCCGAGGCACGTTCGAGAAAAAAAAAAGTGGAAAACAATGATTCCATCTTTCTATGTGAGAACAAGACAAACACCACAATTGTTTCCAATTAAAAAAGGTGTCCACTAACTGACTAACGCATGATTCTGAATTTCTGATCCGCGCCCGCGCCATGTGGTAGGTACCTTGCGGCCCAGAGCGAGGCAGATCAATACAAGCGGGAGATGAAAAGGGAGCAGTTGGAGATCATCACCGTCCCAGACACTGGTACATGGATACCAGTTCATTAAGTAACATTTCTCATGACCGTTGGTGTGTTTATATATGACTGGCATCCTGATTTTGAATCCTTGATTGATCATCCATTCCAGAGGCTGCTGATATTGGAGAGATCATGTCACAGTATGGGCTTGAACCGCAGGAGTATGGCCCTGTCATCGACGGGCTCAGGAGAAACCCTCAAGCTTGGCTAGACTTCATGATGAGGTATGATCAACTGTTACATCCACTACCACTGGTTCCCACTTTTGAGTAGCCCTGCTCACTCATTTTGTAGTTTGGAAGCAAATGGCCACGAATCATGGTGGGACAAGATTGAATTGTTTTGCAGTAGTTCATAAAACAGTTGAGAATGAAAAACATAAAACATAATGTTATTATTAGTCATAAACAACCCAAGAATGATGATGAAAAACTTAGAAATGTCATTAACGGAAGGTAAATTGGTTTTCTCAACTAACCAGGGAAATGTGTTCAGGTTTGAGCTGGGATTGGAGAAAGCAGATCCTAAAAGGGCTCTGCAGAGTGCTTTTACTATCGCTCTATCTTATGTGATCGGTGGATTGGTCCCTCTCCTGCCCTACATGTTCGTCTCCACAGCCCAGAATGCCATGCTCATATCTGTTGGAGTCACATTGGCCGCACTACTTTTCTTTGGCTACATCAAGGGTCGCTTTACTGGGAATCGACCATTCATCAGTGCTGTCCAAACTCCTATTATTGGAGCACTTGCTTCAGCAGCAGCATATGGGATGGCAAAGGCCGTTCAAGCTAGATAGTTGTTGAAGGTATCAAGCATTTGGAAACAAAAATTTCAGTAGGCTGCAATAAACTAAAGAAAGTTGTAATTCTTCTCCTTCGTAACATCCCATTACATTATCTAGTTGCAGAATCTAATGCTAGTCTACTCTTATTTAATTTTCGATAAATATAGGGGAAGATAATAATAAATAAAATATCTCTGCGCCTCACTTTGGTCAAGTAAAGACTGAACTTTGCATGACACTACATATTCAATCATGATGACAAGCAAATTGAGATTACCGCAGAAGCCTGTATCATCAGACCAAGATGGGTGACGAGTTGATGATAGCACAAGTTTAGCTCCTTGAAGGAAAAAATGATCTTAGCCACAAGTTGGTTAGATAGAGATAGGTCATTTAATAATTTACTAAGAAGAAATGCCTTACTTGTAATCATCTCAGATATCTGACAATCTGCGAGAATTTGCTGTGAATCTGTGATGTCTTAACTTTGAACAGATGCAAATCTGCTATCTTATCTTGTAGCATGACTGCAAGACAGTACTTGTAGTTTGAATCCAACAGGCACAACCAGAGCCATGCACCAGATAGACCAACTGCTAAGACATCTCAGATCTACGCAAACTATAGTTCTCATCAAGATACTTTGACTAATAAACAGAGAATCATGAAACATATCCAAACCTTGATTTGCTAGAACCTCTGCTTTTCCCCTCCCAGACAGCAATCTTCAAAGCCGAGTATGTGTGCTCACTGCTCAATAAGGTACCTTTATCATATTCATCAATCTGAGCGTGAAAATCGTATTCATGTTGCATTGTCAATCTTCAAGCTCTAAGGTTATCACAGGTAGGGAAGTAAAATAAGTATCTTTACCTAGCAAAACTATCCATTATCATGGTAATTCTTAGTCGATTTCTTCTTGACAAATTCATTGATTAGTGAAGTATAAACCCCAAAATCTGAAACCATTCCTTTTGCACTTTTCAGTTCTTCAGCATCTCTAACTTTTCCATGCTTGCAATGTCCGTCCAAAAGAATGTTGTATGTTATATCATCTGGGCACACCCCAATATTAAGCATCGCATTCAGAAGCATGTCTGCATTCTTCATCTGCCCCAGAATGCAGAAGCCATTCATAACCACATTATATGTTACAACTCCCGGTTTTCGGCCCTTATTCTGCATCTCTTTCAGTAGCTTAAAGCCTGTCTTCATATCACTATTCTTACAGAAGGCATCAATCACCATTGTGTATGTCGTGTTGTCAGGTTCCAAACCAACCTCCACCATCTCACATAGGATCCTTTCTGCATCAACTGAACGCCCCCTGCCTTGCTCAGTCCCGAGATGAGCGCAGTGTATGTGACCTCATCCAATGCAACCCCTTCGTCTGACATCTCTTGTTTCATCTCCATTGCCATGTCCAACTCCCCCTCCTTGCAGCAGCCATCGATGAGTGTGGTGTAAGTAATCTTGTCCGGCTTGAGACCATTGTTCCTCATCTCCTCCACAATGTCATTGGCTGCTTTCAAATCTCGCACCCGACAAAGACCATTCACCAAAGAATTGTATGCCACCAAATCCGTCTTGATGCCCCTTGTAACCATATCCTGGTGCAACTCCAACCCAGCTGCCACATTCCCCTCCTTGCAATGTGCGTCTATCAATGTCGTGAACACAACAGTGTTGGGGTTCACACCTCTCTCACGCATTTCCTCAAACATCTCCACTGCATCACGTATCCTCCCTGTCTTACACAACCCTTGCATAAAAGCACCATAGGTGTACACATCTGGTGCGACTCCTACCTTCTCCATTAGCCCTCGGAGAGCATTTGCACTGTTCAGATCGGATGCCTTGCACATCCCAGACATCAATGTGTTGAAGGTCACTACCGTTGGCTGCACACCCCTCCTCAACATTTCATCGAACACATTCCGCGCACTGGCAAGTTTGCCTGATCTAATCATGTCACGCATTAGCATGTTAAACTGCTTGGCCTCCGGGGGCACGCCTGCGTCGAGCAGCTGCAGGTAGAAGGTGTAGGCTTCAGGAACAGAGGGAAGCCGATTCATGAGATCGGACCACGCGGGCAGGGTGACGCGGACGCCGCGGCGGAGCGCGAGGAGGAGGAGGGAGCATCCATCGGGTAGGAGGCCCTCATCGGCGTATGCTTTGGCGACCGCGGACACGAGTGGTGCCGGGTCATCGGTGGAGGCTGCGGAGAGGAGCAGCGGGAGGAGCCGCGGCGGGGAGTCGCGGCCAAGGCGGGAGACGAGGAGGCGGAGGAGGGGGGGTGCAAGGTGGGGGAGGCGGTGGGCGATGAGGAGGTGAGACATGGAGAGGAAGGAGGCCGGGGTGTGGCGGAAGAGGCCCGGCGGCGAGGCGAGGAGGACGCGGAAGAGGGAGAGGAGCGGGAGCGGCTGGAGGGCGAGCGGGTTGCGGCGGAGGAGGGAGAGGAAGTGCGCGGAGGTGAAGGCCGGGAGGAGGCGGAGCAGGGGCGCGGGCGCGGCGGCCGGGAGCGGCGCCGGGTGGACGGGGAGGCCGAGCGCAACCTCGGACGCCGCGACGAGGAGAGGATCGGCCTCGCCCGGGGGCGGGAGCGTCGACCGCGGCGCCGCGTACCATGGGGGAGAAACGGGCGGCGGGGGTTCAGCGGCCGGCGGGCGCCGCTGGATGGGGCGAGAGCGGAGGGCTTTGCCTCTGTGCATTGTGGTCGCCTGATCGGTTGGGAGGCAGAGCGCCAAGTTTAAAGATAACTGGTGCAGAAAACAAACTGATTCAGTTGGTAAATCTGCAGGGGTAATCAGAACACTCTATAGACACATTTGTCGATCTATATGGTAAATCCCTTATGCCCTGGATCCATCTATGAGTCCAAAAGCTCATCTTGCCACCGTCTCCGACTTGAATGATCAGGGAACGCCTCAAGCATTGCCTTGACAATGCGTTCAGAGCTGCGAGGCAAATTGATCCAGATTCTACTGTCGTCGGTTCATCGTAGCCACTCCCACCTCAAACGAAGGGAGAATGGGGACTACAACAACTAAAATATGTTCATGATTTGAAGAGTGAAGTCACTGGTCGTTATAAAACAAAGGAATACCATAGAGGGTATTGAAATTCATCCTATCACCAATAGGAGAATAGGCATGTGCACAATATCTCTTTAGGTAAAAACAGAAATATTCACAAGTAGTAAGTAACAGTGAATCCCATATTAGGTCAGGAGTAACAGTAACCTGCTCACATCAGTTGACAGTCCAAACAATGACATAAATGGAATAAGGCAAAAGAGAAACAGGATCCATCGACACCGAAGAATCCTGACAAAAGCACTGTTGAATCTGAAGCTATTTTTCTGAGCATTATGCAGATAAATTATCAGCATGTAGTGGTATTCTATACTGGCCACAATTTCTTCAAATCGAGCGGGGTTATTAGAAACAATAACAGTATAACGAGGTATAGACAACCATGTTTAAGAGTAGCGACACACAAGAGCTACAGATCCATGTCATATGCTCAATTCATCCTCATTGCAGTATGTGTTATAGATCTGAATAAATGATTATCTCAAATAGAATCTCACTGGTTAGCAAACAAGAAAAGCCTTGTTGAAGCAAGCTGCACAAACCCCAGTTGCAGAAAACCTATTGGCCACCATACGAACCAAAACATTAGGTGTATACTCCCACTCCCAAGCTGTAGCCAGGAACCCTTTTCCTCAGCATTCAGTTACAGCCTGCAAAGAAACCAAAATCCAATTTTTTAACAGCTAGATAACAATAGTTACCCATGTGTCAAAGAAAGAAAGGGCCAAAGAAAGAAGAGAAATCAAAATGCCTTGATATTGAGGTGGCTCAGCTAGGCAACAAATTGCCTTGTCAGACAATCTGGATACCTCTTGGGCGTGCACAGGCGATGCTGCCGACGAACCAAAGTGAGGAAATAGCAATTGTTTGAGAATGAGGAAGGAACAACAATGTTCAAATAGGTAAGCAAAAGAGGAGCAGGTATTGACAAGAGTCTGAATCTATTCCAGCCGTTGTTATTTCTCCAATGAATCAACAAGGTGGAATATGCAAGGAATAGACAAGGTCAGTGTATGTTTATGGTCGGTCAAGTGTATCAGAGGCGCAGCGTCAGCTAGCTAGGTGCAACGCTACAAGCATGCGCCGCAGTGGTGACCGCGCCCGGTTCAATCCAGATTCTCCTAGTTTCTAGGATCTTGATTTGATTCATTCAAGTTGTTAGACTATTTTAGGAACTTTCGGTTGTAAGATTGGGCCATATAAGCCAATCAATTATTCAATAATGAAAGGATTGAGAAGCTCTCTCCAGCCCCAATCGACTCTCTCTCTTGTCTCTGTTTGCGCCGACCGTCGGGGACGGCGTCAGTGGTGCCCAAACCTCCCACGTCCCCATAGCTACAACCTCCGGAGCATCACTAACGATCCTAACAACCTGCATCAGATGTCAGTAGATGTCCGCTTAACTGTCTCACCACCTCCGCCGCTTTCCCCAACCACCACCGCCGCCAACAACCAATACCACCACCGTGACCACCACCACCGTTGCCAGGATCGAAACCCTCACTTGGCCGTTTACGGTGCTGCGCGAGATCATCAATGGAGGGCCACATTTCACCATTACCGGCGTCCATGTCCCTCGTCGGCCCACCGCTCCGCTATGGTCATCATTGTTACTTCCACCGCTGCCCACGGACTCCGTCGTGGTCCATCATAAGAATTACCAATCCACCGTTCAACACATTGCCGTGCGTTCGACATGTCCTCGCCTCGGCGATTAGGGACATCCATCCATCTGCTTCGAGAATTTTGTCGACAACCCTCTCGGTTCTTGAACAAGTTTTCTTAGGCTTATTACAAGTTATGGTTGGCGTCCTTTCAAGAATGGTGTTGATATAATGCTTCGGCGCGACTACGGCGACGTTGGCACCAAGGCGCTATGTTACCGGTCACTTCATCACCAACCATCTCTCTCTCGATTTGGCGCGGCTACCGTTCGATGGATCCGTTCATACCAGGAGGCGTTCTTGGCTCGTGGCGCCGCCGAGCCCCTCACCCGATGCAAAGGTGCGGCTCTTCACCGGGGCCTACCCAACCCATCCGCACCGATGTGGAGCGCGGGGCCTCTCGATCTCCAACGGGCCATGGGATTGGCCTGCATCTGAAGCCAGCAGCTGCTGCCTGGTGCGGTGGCGCCACCGACCACCACGCTTCGCCATGCGGCAACGGCCCGCTGGACACATCAGTAGCTCAGCTGGCGCGGCGAAACCCGAGACCGAAACGGCGTCGCCAACGGAGATGGCGGATCGTCGGAGCAAGGGGCTGTGCTACAACTGCGACGAGCCGTACGTCCGCGGCCACCGATGCGGCGCCTCTTCTACTTGCTTCACCGACTTCCACGACTCCCCCTCAATCTTAATTGTTTACAGTACCATCGCTCATCTCTCGCGATCACCGGATCCGGAGGACATGATGCAAGTCCACATCGCCATAAATACGAGCTCAATAGCATCGACTCGGGTCCAATCATAACTTCATCGATCAGTATGGCCGCTCGGCCTCCACTTCCACGGCAAGGCGCTCCTGGTTGCCAGCGGCGACAGCGTGGCGTGCTGCGACTATTCTCGCGACGTAGCCATCCGCGCCGGCGAAGAACACTTCACCGTCATAACACCATTCCACTCGGCGCTACGATATGGTCCTAGGTGTCAAGTACTTACGCACCACGGGCCCTATCTTGTGGGACTTCGACGACACAGTGCATGGCGTTACGCACAACGGCAAGCGCGTCCTCTGGAAGGGGATCGGCTCCATGCGCACGGACACTCCACCAACGGGGCGGCTGCATGCGGTTCGCGATGCCGAGCCGGCATTGTTGGACCGGCTGCTGGACTCCTTCAATGACATCTTGAGTCCCTCAGTCGGCTGCCACCCGCATGACCCCTGTGATCATCGCATTCATCTGCTGCCGAACACCGCACGGTTGCGGTCCTTCTACCGCTATCCGCACCTCGAAGGACGAGTTGGAGGCGCGAGCGACGACCATGCTTGAGCAGGCATAATTATGAAAGCACCTCTCCGTTCTCCATGCCGTGCTTGCTAGTGAAGAAACCGGACGCGTCATGGAGATTTTGCGTGGATTACAGCGCCTTTGCGACCGACCACACCGTCAAAGATAAGTTTCGATCCCCATGGTCGAGGAGCTCATCGATGAACCGCACGGTGCCAAATACTTCACCAAGTTGGATCTTGGCGCGGGTACCATCGGCGCCTCTGGACCGAAAGCACTTGCAACATCTACGTGCGGTCTTCACCGAGCTCGCGTGCATCATCAGCCAAAGCGCTCTAAGTGCGCCTTCGGCACCTTGTCGGTGGCGTACCTCGGGCACATCATATCCGCGTCTGGGGTAGCCATGGATGGCGAGAAGGTAGCGGCTGTGGCGTCGTGGCCGCAGCCCATGTCGGCGTGTGGACTCCGCGGGTTCCTCGGCCTCACCGGGTACTACCGGCGCTTCATCAAAGACTTCGGCAATGTCGCAGCGCCCCTCACCAAGCTGCTGCGTAAGGACGGCTTCCAGTGGACCGACGAAGCAGCCGGGGCGTTCAACGCCCTCAAGGAGGCGCTGTCCACGGCGCCGGTCCTACACCTTCCCGACTTCACCACGGAGTTCGTGAGTGGATCGCGATCGCGTCGCACGCAGGGTTTGGCGCGCAGATTCACCAAGGCGCCGGACCCTTGGCCTTCTTCAGCAAGCCATTCGCCGCCCGGCACTTGAAGGTGGCGGCATATGAGAGAGAGCTCATTGGCCTTGTATAGGCAGTGCGCCATTGGCGGCCCTATCTGTGGGGGCGCCGGTTTGTGGTGCGCACGGATCACTACGCGCTCAAATACATGCTCGATCAACGACTCTCCACGGTACCGCAGCACCAATGGATCAGTAAGTTGTTCGGTTTTGATTTCACTGCGGCGTACAGGCCGGGCAAGTTGAACACGGTTGCCGATGCGTTGTCTCGCCGCGAGCTACCGGCAGAGCACCTTGCTGCCCTGTCATCACCCACGTTCAACCTCTACGACGATCTACGCGCGGAGCTCCAGGCTGACGCCACGCTGCGCCACCTGCGTGACACCATAACGGAGTCGCGTGGTGCGCCGTGGCATGTCGAGGATGGCCTGATCCTGCGTGGGTCTGCCGTCTACGTTCCGCCGACGTCCCGCCTCCTCGCCGATGTGCTATAGCTGGCACACACGGCGGGACATGAGGGCGTCCAGAAGACCTTACAGCGGCTCCGCCTCAGCTTCGCCGTGGACCATGATCGCAGGGTGGTGCGCGACTACGTCCGCTCCTGTTCTGTGTGCCAGCGGAACAAGACAGACACACTACATCCAGCCGGCCTGCTGCAGCCATTGGAGGTGCCCTCTCAGGTTTGGTATGATATTTCGCTTGATTTTGTCGAAGGGCTTCCCAAGGTGAACGGCAAGAGCATCATCCTCACGGTGGTCGACCGCTTTTCGAAGTATGCACACTTCATTGCGCTCGGCCACCCGTATACGGCATCCTCGGTCGCGCGCACGTTCTTCACCGATATCGTCCGGCTACATGGTTTTCCGGCCTCCATTGTGAGTGACCATGATCCCGTGTTCACCGGCAACGTATGGCGCGACTTGTTCAAGATGGCGG